CCTCAGCCTTTGGTTCATAGTTCATGTGTTTCCATTCATTTGGCTATTTGTCCCTGTGCTTCATCCAACCTTGGTTTCAACAATTCTTGCTCATATAAACCCTCCTCTTTCTCGCTAATTAGGTGAAGATGTTTTTGTTAATAGTTTTGAGGTACAAAATCTTGGGGAACAGTTTAAAGTTTATAAAGACATACATTCAATAGTTGAAGAAAGGACTCATTGAGGTCAGGGAACAGGAACAACAGCAGCCTGCTATTGCTGGCTAATTCACCTTTCTTGCTAGGATAGTTTGGTGATCCAAGATGATTTTAATTCCCTGTACCAATTTCTGCCCTCAGCTTCCTGATATAAAAAGCTGTTGATGAATCGGTATGTACCCTGGAGATTGAAAGTAGAGCTCACTGATTGTTTTTAATATATAAATGTTTAGATTTGTGATGCTTTTAAGATTCTTTTTAAGATTACCTTTTGAGGTAAATTATAAAGTGATTGATCCTTTATTTTTAACAGCAAAATGCAGCCAGACTTTCAGTAAAATTACTGGCTGAGAAAATTTACCTTGCTTCTGTATAGTGTTAATCTATAACAGGTTGCTTGGACATGAATGTATGTGGGTTCTTAGGATAATTTGTTTTCATCTATAATACATAGAATGTTTAATCATGTAAGGGAAATGGGAGACATTTTATACTTGTATTCACTGTAATCATTGATTTAAAAAGTAAAATGTAACCACACTGTAATTTTTTTTTGCCTGAAAAATTTTGCTTGGATACAAAAGGTCTATGGGAAAAATACACAAGAGAAGGAAAACACCAGGAAAGATGTAGAAGGAAAGTTAGAAGGAAGACATCAAGAGAGGTACAGAAGGGATATGAGGTAAGAAAAGAAATAAAGATGAGAGATGATAGAGAGACCCTAAACGTGCGTGCGTGTGTGTGTGTGTGTGTGTGTGTGTGTGTGTGTGTGTGTGTTTGCTCCCTTCTTTTGCCCCAGGGAGTTAAGTTCAGCCCTGCCCTTTCTGGCCCCAGAGAATTAATGTTTTACTCCCTCAGATAGAAAAATCAAGTTGAGTAATTAGCTCAATGACTCTGTGGAGCCCCCTCTGTCTCTGAGCTGGTGAAGGCTGCTCCTCAGAGCAGCAATAGTTACTATGCCTTTGTGTTAAGTATAATAAATCAGTCCTTAAAAAAACAATTGCTGAATTAAAATTCTTGCTGTTGGCTAAGGAACAAAGTTGCCTTGAATGCAGAGTCCTGATGATTAGATGTTGTGGAAGGTGAAGGCAAAGGAGAATGAGTGGGGCTGGAATGATGAGGTCAAATATTACATGAAATGAATAAAGCCTCATCTTCCACATCATTGGAAGTGACTGTGTCCTGTCTGGTCCGCAGCCACTCAGATCCAAGTAAACACACAGAGGCTTATATTAATTAAACTGTTTGGCTTAACTCAGAACTACCACTGACTAGCTCTTATACTTAAACTAACCCATTTCTGTTAATCTATATGTTGCCACATGTTCCATGGTTTTACCTGTATGCCATTACATGCTGCTCCGTGGACAGCAGGCTGGTGTCTCCTGAATCAGCCTTCTTCTTTATAAAATTCTCCTTGCCTGCTTATCCTGCCTATACTTCCTTCCTGGCTACTGGCCAATCAGCATTTTATTAAACCAGTCTACAAATGCATTATCCCACACCAAGAAGGAAGATAATTACCAAGATTTTGTTAAGTACCTATTCTCTGCATGTGTTGATATATCACACTATAACCCATTAAGCTGTATAATTAGTATGTGCTAATTTGTAATAAAGAAAAGCTTGACCAACAAATAGCAAGGAGTAAACAATTACATGGAGTCCCAAATCTTCAGTTTGGAGCATGGCAATTGCTCTAGAAAAGACGTCAGCAGATCTTAATTAAAATAAAAAAAATCAGAACAATTATTATTTTCCACATGTCAAAATACATACCATTCAAGAAAACAAGAGATCAGTTAGTAAGTCTTGATCCATTTGTACTATACTATTTGGGATCTTGACAATCACTGATGTGCTTTGAGAACAATGATGTTACCCATAGATGGCTTTATCTCAGGGTCACCAGACTCTACACATTGAAAACAAAAAGACTAATGAATTGTTCACTAAAGAACATTTTTTTCTGAAAACAAATCTTTATTCCTCTTATTAGAGTAATTAAGCACAAGTGAAATATTAAAATATAAGAAGAAAATGTATAAGTCATTGATTTGCAAGTGTTGGCTGAAAAATAGGACCTCTTATAAAACAAAATAAATTTGTGTAATTAATATTTGCTAATCCCAAATGAGAGAATTATTTTCATTTTTTAAAAATGTATTTGATCACTTATTTCACAGATATCAATTTCTTATTCCATAAAAATCAAGACAGAAATACTGGCTATTCTGTCTGGCTGCCGTAAAGTTTGAACTTTTTTCCTCCGAATGACATATAAGACAATCTAAGTTTAGAGTGATGGGATTTCAAACAGTGTCACATTCAATTCTCTGAGGAACAATAGCTGTGTAAACCAAATGACAATGTTCATGTCCTTTTACTAAGAATGGGAGTATCAGTAGAGTTCTTAAAGGTCACAAGAATATATTTCACCTAAATCATAAAATGTTATGTTTCACTCTTCACCTAAAAACACAGCTTTGTGTTTGTTCAAAGGACATAAGGATCTAGAGAATTGTCAATATCTCAAATTACCTAGCCTGATAGGTAATTTGCACAAGGCACATCATATTCTTCCTTTTCTACCTGCCTCAGTACAGTGAATTAAAAACTGTAGTTCCTCAAAGACTTGTTTGGAATATAAAGAGAACCAACAACAAATTCATTACAGAATGTTAAAAGTACTTATAAAATAGGAACAATTTGCAAATGACATGATTCTAGAATCTCTCCAATGTCTTCATAAATATTAAAGTAACTAGATAAAAAAACTTCTATAACTAAAATACCAGATATCACCACAAATATCAACCTTAGAGTGAGTTTTATTATAAATGTTCACACAATCAGTATCTATGTCAGAAGGAAAAGTTGTCCATAGAGCACATGAAAGTGTTCACAACAGCAGTACCTCAGATGTTAGCAGGCTGCTTGTGACAACAAAGTTAAATCCTGAGGGAGTTCACCCAGTTTGGTTTGCAAAGACTCCACAAATTTGAGAAGTTTTAGAATCAGATTTGATACCATATGTCAAGACACAAGATGTGAAAACCAACTGAGCAGACCTCTCTTCCTACACAGCCCTTTCTGTGTTAGATTGTCTGGAAATGGATTCAAGAGAAAGCAGGATTTGGAGCTTAGTGACAAAGAAAAAAACAAGATCTAGAAAAAGATGTGAATGCACAAGTAGAGAAACTAATAGAAACAAACCATTGTGTTTTAAAATATTACACAGATTATAAAGGTTATGTTAAAACACAATTTAACAAATAAACAACCATGAAGTGCCTACATTATAATGTGAAAAAAAGATGAATTATCACATCATTACACAAAAACTAAACCATTCAAAGAGAGATATATTCATATAAAAGATGAATTTTGTAATCTGGCACTTGAAAACAAGCCGATAAGAGAAAGTACATATGATTGAAGAATATTATGAACTAAATATAGTAAAGTGATATCTGTAGATACATACTAAGATATAAAACTAGAGAGCAGAGACATAAAACCTAAACTTAAGAATACTCATCAGTGAGTGAACATGTGCGCACAAAATACTACGTGTAGCAAGTTAAGAAAAATAGACCATTTTTAGAGAAAATAGAGGTATAAAAAGAAAAAGCCCCCACACTGGAGGAGTGCAATTTATCAAAGAATGATCTTAGTAACTATAGGTTATAAAGATGAATTCTGAAAATATAAACAGGTAATAGATAAAAGCAAAAAATCCATTTATATAGACACACATATCTGTGTATACTTACCCAGAATTTGTAACAAACATATTGTAGAAATGTTGCTATATCTTTAAGAGAAAAAGTCTTAAGAGTAGTTAAACAAAAGTTGTGTGAATTAGAAAGAACATGATATTTTAATTACAGTTTTCCATCCAAACATCTCACCAGAAGAAAATGCCAGAGAATAATTTAGGTACTCAGAAGAGAAAATGAGAGTCAGTGATTATGAGTATAGCAAAATTTACCATTAAGAATAAAAGTGAAAACAGTTAGACACATAAAGGGTTCAAATGACATTGTTAACCAGAGTTTCCTGGAAACTTGTAGAGGAAGTAGCTCAAGTAAGGAAAAGAAAAGAAATGTACTCATTATAGGACACTGCTGGTTTGGCCTAGAACTGAATTCTAGATGGTCCTGGGTGCTGGCTGGATTTATATCAACTAGACACATGGTGTAGTCATCTGAGAAGAGGAAACCTCAATTGAGAAAATACCTCCATAATTGAGAAAATACCTCCTGCCTGTAGAACATTTTCTTAAATAGCAATTGATTGTGCTGGGTCCAGACCATTGTGGATGGTGCCAACTCTGGGCAAATTGTCCCAGGTTTTATAAGAAAATAGGCTGAGCAAGCCATGTAGAGCAAGCCAATAAACAGCACCCCTCCATAACTACTTCATTCGCTCCTGCCTCCAGATGCCTGCCCTGCTTAATTTCCAGTTCTGACTTCCTTCAGTAATTGACTGCAATGTGGAAGTGTAAACCAAAAAAATCCTTTCCTCCCCAACTTGGTCTTCATTCATGGTATTTCATTGCAGCAACAGAAACCCTAAGAGACCCAGGGATGTAAGGGAAAACCAAATGCTTCTGCTCTGTTAAAGGAGCCTAGCAACAAAATTATACCTAATGACGGTCCATTCTACTCATAAATCAGTGACTTGTTCTGCCATCATCAAAGAAGCTTCCTTCTGTGGAAACTGGGAATAAATACAAAGGCCCACAGCTGACTGATGTGCGGAGATTGAGAGACTTTGGTACACTCAACCCTCAATTAAATATCTCCCCTCAGGGTTCAGGCAACCTTGAGGAAGAGGGCATGGAATGATTGTAAAAGACAGAGTGAATGGAGGACACCAGTACATAGACACTGGTATTTAAACACTGCTAGACCAAAGCATGTAAGAACTCAGAGACTGGCATCATATACAGGGCCTGCACAGTTCTGGGATGGATGGGGTCCTAGCACTTAGAGGAAGGGTACAAAAACCTACATTCCTAATCCAGAAACTATATACAGTGATAACCAATCCCAAATTTTAAAAGAAATAGTTTTCTACAACAGAGGTTCCCTGGGTATACAAACCCCTCTTAGGCTGGCTCAATTCCCAGCAGTAGATGCTGACACAAAATGAACTCAATGGCATTTCTTTGGTTCTCCGTCTCATTGTGGTTGTGCTGAATAGCTTTTTGTCAATTTTATATAAGCTAGTCACTGGAAAGGAGGGAGTTTCAGTTGAAAAAATGTCTTCATAATATCAATCATTAAGGAATTTTCTATATTAGTGATTGATAACTGGGTGCCCAACCCTTTGTGGGTAGTTCCATCCCTTGACTGGGTTCTATAAGAAAGCAGACAGAGCAAGTCATATTCAGCAAGTCATTAAGCACACCTCCGTGGTCTGTGTATCAACTCTTAGCTTCACATTCTTGCTCTGTTTGAGTTCCTGTCCTGCGTGGGAGCCTCGAGTTTTCCTAGTGAAATCTGAGCTTGCTTTACCCAGCAGGACTTCATAAGAGGATGATTGGACCACAGGCCTGGCTCCCAGGTATTTTGAAGGGTCTACACTTGGTTGTTTCTAGCAAGGGGGAGAACTCTTTGGCACTGTTATAAAAAAGCCCTTTTGAATAAAGAGCTGGGCCATTGGGTATTGACC